AAACATATTTTTATACAGGTAAAAATATCTAAGGTATAATTTACTTTAATTTTATTTTTAGTTAAATTATATAAATTGCAATATCACAAAATATTACATCAGGTAAAATTACATAACCAAATTATTTATATTTTTTTTAAATAGGTACAATATACTAAAACAGATAAAAACTAAATTTCATAACAAGTAAAAATTCCTACTTGCAAATAAAAGTGAAAGCAAATATATGAAAAATTAAACAAATCCATATTTCAACTTTTAAAATGGCGTAAGTAGCAAATATTCTTTAAATGACATTTTTTTTGTCGCTAAGTAAACATAAAATTGTAAATTTGGCTAAAATCACGCAGTACTTAACCGACAAAAAAATTATCGTAGAATTTTAAAACCTAGACCAATCGACGCAGAAAAATCAGGCGATTCGAATGGTATATAAAACTCAGTTTAGGTATTTTTGTCGCTTAGTCAATTTTGCCTTTCAACCGTCGATATGCATGTATATGATAACACGAGTACTGCTTCCTACAGAACAGACTCAGCCTAGTGTGGGAAGCAATGATAAATTCTGTGCTAATACAAACATACTTTGTTAAATAAATATATCTTTATCTTTATCTTATCTTAACTTTATTAGAGATATAAATAAATATAATAAATAAATAAGAGTAGTAATAAGTAAATAATATGAGAAATAATATTTATTTATTTATATACTTTTGTACATAAGCTTTTAATATAGATATTTGGTTATAACAACAATGTATACACACGTACTTATCACTAAAAGGCATTTCTTCCGGTCAACCTCGAGAACACGAAGAAGAAGTCTTCACCTATCATCTCTCACTGGTGCCCCGCCAACGTATACCGATAGCGCTTATATGTATACCGATGGCGGGGTTACCATTCCATTATAACCCACTAAAAAAAAACTGCGGAATTCCTATAGTACTTTTTTTAACTAGATACTTCGTCGCAGAAACATCGTAGAGACTACAGCATGGGATTCTTCAAAAAGGGCGTATTAAGGTCGCCAATGCACGCGTGACATTCCTGGTATTATAGGCGTCCATAGACTACGGTATTTCCGTTTACCATCAGATAGGCCGTATGCTTGTTTGCCACCATTACAGTAAAGAAAAAGCATGAATGAATTAATAATAAATGCTCCATATTGTCTAACTCGTTCTTCGGTTAGAGATTGACAATTAAACTTTTTAAGACAAGGCCCAGGAATGCCGTCCATTAATTTCACAAACTTTGTTTTGCATCAATGCGCAATGATGGATTTACCATCTATCATTGCTGTCTGTACTAATAATGTAAAGGAAAGTTTACGAGTTGCTTGGTGTACGCCGACGGAAATTTAAGAAACTTTGCTGCTTTTGAAGTATATCTGCAAACAGATTAATCGCAGATTTTTTTTTTCTTTAAAGTAGTTATTTTCTGCAAAAAACTGTATCCTAAAAGTATGCTTATTAAATAATCTAAACTTATAATAAATCTGTAGAGAGGTTAATTCTGTACATAAAATATATTACCAAAATAACTATGTGTTAGTTAGTAGTGTATGTGATTAGTGATCGATATTGATGCCAAAAATACAATCAGTGAAATTTTTGTCTGTCTGTCTGTATATATATATATATATATATACATACATATATACACATACATATACATACACATTGGTGATGGTTACCACTTTCCATTAGGTCAGCCGTCAGCTTGTATACCATTGTAAGTTGCATAAAAAAATTTGTTTATTGTATATTTAATAGAATAAACAAATAATATTTTTACCAGAAATACAACATACATTATTATTATATGTCTGAATAATAACTTCACTGGAATATGAATCAAAGATAACTTATATGACCTGGTGACAGTAAATATATTTTATATAAGTTTAAGTTATATAATTAATTTCCGTGTAATCTATATTTATTTGAACTGATTGGAATTTGTTCATTATCCGATTACTAAATAACAAAGTATAATGTGTTTTAGTAAGCATGTTTATATTAATATTATAAAGAGAAGAAATTTTATTTTGTTGTATATTTGTTTGTAATCTCAACAAAAACTCCAAAGCTACTCGATCAATTCTAAAAATTCTTAGCGAATAATATAGGCTATATATTATTTTAAAAAATGTTAGAGATCCTTATGAAAATTAATATGACGTAAGACATCAAAAATTTGTCTATTAACGCTAATTTAAAATACTAAGTTATCTTTCTATCTATCTAATCGTGCGAAGTCGGGGCTAATCGCTAGTGTATAATAATTTACGTAAGTTGACCATTGTTAAAGGATAACTATAGCTTTTTTATGCCACTGTGGAGGCAGACAAGCATACGACTCACCTGATGGTAAGCTGTTACCGTAGCGTATGAACGCCTGCAACACCAGGTACATTACGCGCGCGTTACCGACCCTTAAGAAACCTCTTTATACCCTTTTTGAAGAACCCCATGCTATATTCTCTTGGTAAAAGCTCCATATGGAGCTTATTCCATAACCTGGGCGTTTTTGGGAGAAAACGTCTTTAAAGTCACTCTGTACGCGACCATCTAAGCTTTATGGTATGGGGGTGAACTCCCTGTCGATGACTAGCTGTACGATGGTACAAGGTGACCGTGGGAATCATATTAAACAATTCCTTATGTTATTTAAATTAGATGATGAAGAAGATTACTACTACAGGGGATTAGCGGCTCCATCAATAGTAAAGAACGTATAGTATACTAAGTTTTGCCTGTCACTTCGTACGCCTAGATTTCATGCATGCGGTATAAAAAAAAAAAGTACACGAAAACAAACGACAAGTAAACAACTCTTCTTCAGTCTTCATCTGTTAGAAATAACAAATTACACTAAATGTGGAACATTCGTTTATTAAATTGAGCGTGTTACTGTCCCATCGCGTTGAGCGCAAGGTTGTTACTATACGCTTTTTGTACATAATGAACGAAATGTTTTATGGCCAATTTATTCCTACATAATTAGTTGGGGAAAGGACGTTCAGAGATGAGATCTAGTGACCTCAACAGTCTACCAGATCGACTTCCACGCGGTTTCCCTCGAAAACTATCCTAAAGGCTAGCAGCATATCTGCAATACGTTTTTCTCCGTTGCGGATGCTCATAGATGGAAGTAGCCTGTCATCCTACCATCAGGTGAACCGCATGCTCGTTTGCCCTCTGTATTGCAATAAATAAATAAATTTCCGTGAAATCGTCACGATGGAGTAACTCACCTGATTTTAACCTCACCTGTCATCACTGGTGCTTCGCTAGCATACTAATAGCGTAAGTGTGTTTACCATTCCATTTTCAACCAACTTCATAAAGAAGGGGTTCTCAATTCCAATGCATTGTTTTAAGTTAATTACCTCATAACTCCGTCAGTTTCAAACCGATTTGGAAAATTGTTTTTTTTTTCAGGAGGATGTGCACGAGTACTTGTTAATTAGTTCCATAGAAATTTTATCAAAATCGGTTTAGTAGGTAGTAGTAAAATAATTAGTTTTGACATAATTTTTACCAGAGGGAGGACTGTCTTTATCCCAGGAAGTCAACGTAACTAGAACTCTCGAACAATTATACATACATAGAATACAAAATATTTATTAATCGAAAAATACAATAATATTATTTATAAGAAGTGTGTCATATTAGACAAAAAGAACTGGCTCAGCTGATGCTGGTGTCCAATTAATGACAATCCAAATATATAACAAAATAACTAATGAGATAAACAACTTAAAAAGTGGTAAAAAAATTGCTATTGATTTAAAAAAGTACCTAACAAATAAAACATATTTCATTTGAATTTCTTTGAAGATAAGTAGCTAATATGAGTTACTACATTTTATTCATAATATTATAAATAAAAATAAATAATAATGTGTGATTTTAAGTCCCTACGAAATGTTACGTGTCTTATGTACTTACTTATTATAATAACCAATTTGTACCACGTGGCATGCTTTTTCTTTATCTTTATTTATTTAGGGACTTTTGTCCTTTTAGGCACGTCAGTCCCATCGTACCTCAATCAATTTTAGGTCATCATTGTATATATTTTAACAATCAAAAGTTCACAATTTTCCAAATTTTTACAATCATAAATACCACCAAATTAAAATAATATGAATGAAAGGAATGTCGTGGAATAAAAAAAAACTTTATAATTTATGGTCCGATGCAGGCCTCAAGGCAGGTAGATCTACATTAAAACCTACATCCAACCATATCATACACTAGCCTCACGTCGTCGGCACAGCGCTGGTTTTTAGCCAGTCCCTCCATTAACAAAATACAATAAAAAACAAAAGGGTATAACTGCAAGTACACGTTACAAGAATGTCAATACAATATTTAATTCAATACAATTTATTCATTTATTTATTTAAATAACTTTATAGACCAAAAAAGTATAGTACAAAGGGCGGACTTAATGATAGTAGCATTCTCTACCACTCAACTTTAGGGATAATATATACATACAATCAGAATACATTAGTGACAGAGGGAGACTGTACAAAAGTCGATTGCTTAGGTACCTCTGTCCCATTCGTGTTTCAACTGTAAAGCAGTTGTGTTTGCATGGCTGTGTTTCGGTTTGAAGGGTGGGATATGGCGTGAATTTACTGGGTACAGAGGAATAACACCTGAGTCCTCAGGAACGACAACGCATGGGGGGCATCATGGGCGAAACAGTATACTCTGTTATGTCCATGGTACTGCTCATGTCTATAGGCGACGGTTACCACTTTCCATCAGGTGGGCCGTCAGCTTGTTTGCCATTCTAAGTTGTATAAAAAAAAAGACTACTAACAATATATATTCTTAGTAATTACTAATTAGTCATATTCATAATAAGTAACAGATTCCAGTAACATTATTCGCGTCAACAATTCTCATCTTATTTATTGAAAACAATGATTCAAGATATTGACAAATAATCATATAAACACATGTTGTCATAGTAAATATTTATCATTTATATAAATGTAACTGATAAATATCTGTCAGTACGTAGCTGCCGGCTGTGAGGAAAGCAAAAGCGCTTATATGGAGAAGTGATAGTTTTAAAGTTATTTAATTTTAATTGAAATAAGGTAAATAAATTATTATTAATTATTTTTTTAGAAATTTAATTTATTCTCCGAGAATAAATTACAAGGTTGCCAAAAGTGTATTTATTCGTGTATTTCAATATTCAATAAGAATTAGGTTATAAATTAATTAATGTTTAACTCTCCAACAGATATTGTTATTATTCAGAATTCAAGTTTCGATAAAAATTTGCAAGTTTACTTAATAAATAAAACGAAACTTGCAAATTGTTAATCGATATTTCATATTAAAAAAAAAAAAAAACTAAAAGTAATAAATTCTTAAAAAGCCAGTATGTGCAAGTTTCATTATAAAATGTAGTGCGTACGGTATATTTTTGATGATTTTTATCAATATGAATACTTACATATTTCTTAACAAGTAACTTTTGCTCCTCAGAGAAAGATAATACCATCAGGTATAAATTAATATTGTGTGGTAATAGTAGTATTATTTTTTTTTAAAACGAATTAAATGTAAAATGATATGTTGAAGAAACAAATTTAAAATGTTTGACTCTAGGTATTAACAAAACAAAAAATCCATTTTGTTGTTACGTAAAATTAACTCTAACATTCTATAATATTTATTGATCTTAGAAAACAATGCCCTGACCAAGTAAATAATAGAAAAAGTCCAGATTTTAATAATATAAAAAAATAAAATTTTAAACTTAAATATTATCACTCACAAAGAATACATATACATATATACAATACAGTACACAACTATTTAGGTTTATATTTTAAAATATTAGTCCTTGTGAAAGTCTGAAGTTTCAACTACGTCAAAAGTATATAACAGATCGCCAAGCTCTCTGTGGGATCTTAAATTATATTATTTTACATCTATAATATTATTATAATACAGTTCTTATGAATTATTTTAAATATCCACAAACAAATTTTATTAATGATTAAATTAGATAACGTATATTAAATTATAATAAAGTCCATCCAATTGTTACAGATGACGAAATTATTATTGCTGGCATTCTTTTCTATAATACTAATGATAGAAGCAGGACCAGTCATGACGAGAAAGACCCTGATGCGTCAGGAATTCCAAGGCACTATGTGTTCGAAACTATTGAATTTTAACGGAGTGTACGCTTTCATGGAACAATTGACTAACGTAAGCGGTATCCCGGCAGACTTGAGGGTTCACTGGAAGACTGGGAATGTGTTCTATACACTAGTAAGCAATGAAATGAAAATGAGCCTGCAAGTACTAAGGACCAGTGGCGAAATTGAAACAATCAAAGTAGCTGGCCTGGGACAATCGGCTACTGTAGATAACCTAAATGACATTGTATATTTAGCCACAGATAACGGTGTTTATAAATATAAAGATGACGGGTCTATTGAACTGTTTACAGCTCTAGGCGAAGATGTAATGTATGTGGCAGTGACGAATGATGGAACGGCGATGTATGTAGCGACATGGCCGCAAAATAGAGTCCATAAGATCAACAATGAGACACAGATGTTAGAGACCTTCTCGCCAATATCGAACGGGCACGGTTTGACGATTGATATGAAAAATAATATTTTCTTCGTCGACGTGGCAACGGAGATATTGTACGTGCTCAAAAGTGGAGATACGGTGCCTATAAAGATTAAAGGATTGCACGCAAATAAAATGATTAATATATTTGTAAGCAGATCAGATGCAGTTTATGCAATGGATGAAAATAGTAATTATTATCAAATAGATGTTGAGAATGAAACGGCGAGACTTTTGCGTAATTTCAATGTAACAGGTGTTAACAGTTTCGCTATGGATTCAGCCGATAATATATTGATAGGTGTGAAGGGGGTGATTTTGAAATATTATATTTATGAGAAAAACCCATGCAACGAAGTACCCATGTAAGACTGTATTATTTATTTCTGTATTCTTCACCTATCCTTTTCCTTGTCTTATTACTCATTTAGCTTTATCTTATTTGAGTTAATATAAATCTATTTAAGTATTTTGCGTACTTAATGTCCTTCAAATAAATATCCAAACTTCATACTTATGATACTAGTCGTATTCTGCAACTCTTCTCACGGGAATCAGTATATTGATTATTGTACTAGAATGATTTTGTTTAATTCTGCTACCATTAGTATGTGTGTAATTGTCAACACTTGCAGATTGACCACCAATATTACTACCATAACTAGCACAACTTTCCATATTAATAATCAATCTTCGACTGCCATTTTATTAATTTTGTTTCTCATCAAATAATCAGTAATATTTAATATAACAATTTAAGTAATGGCCGTGTGGTCCCAGCATAGAATAGGCCACCCCTTCCTTTCCCGTGGGTGTCATCAAAGCCGACTAAGAGAAATTGAGGGATGGGCAGCAGCATCTCTCTTAAAACATCACAAAAGCCTGACTGCGGTTTTTTTTAATGGGTGATGATGAAATAGTAACCCCGCCTACGCTATCGGTATACACTGACGGGGCACCAGTGAGTGATGATAGGTGAAGATGAAAAGACAGGTCAGTGAGCTCATCGTGATGAATATACTTGGAATTCAGCGCAATGGTTTACAGTGGGGATCACGTTGGGGTCGACCTGTTTGGGTATATTGCTAACAAAGGGGCCCTTAATCTCCATTATTAACAATCCCTCCCCTCCGCCTGACTGCAGTTGCCAATCCGCCTGCCAAGCGTGATAACTTTAGAGGAGGGCAAAATCCCTTTAGAGGAGGGCTTATGTTCAGCAGTGAACAGTAAAAGGCTGATGAACAGATAAATGATGATGATGATGAATCAGTAATATGGACTTCCGTAAAATAACGACCAGTTCAGTAAAATATAAACCAGTATATAAAGTATTCTATGTTATTATATATTAAGTAAGGATATAACTTAATGGCGTACAAAATTTTATTCAAGTTCGTTCAACTGTTAAAGCGTGAAAGAGTAACAAATATCCGGCCATACATACAGGATTAAGTGACATCTAAAATTAATGGCCACTTTTATGCTCACTAGCTTTTTGTCCACATCTTTATACGCGTAAATTTTAGAAGTATGAGAACCAATGAAATAGATATCGTACCAGGACAATACATATAACAAATTTTAAGTCGGCCATTCAAGAGCAAAACTGTGAAAAGCACATTCAATTTGGTCCAATAGTTTTTGCGTAATTCCGGAACAAACATACAGACAAACGAACATTCAAAATTTATAAAAAAAAATATATTTTGACTTCTATTGCTTTAATTAAGACCTCTAATAGCAATATTTAGACATCGTTTAGTTATATGTTAATTGTATTTTTTTATGCAACTTACCTGATGGAAAGTGGTAACCGTCGCCTATAGACATGAGCAGTACCATGGACATAACAGAGTAAACTGTTTCGCCCATGATACCCCCCATGCGTTGCCATTCCTGAGCACTCAGGTGTGTCCTCTGTACCCAGTAAATTCACGCCAATTTCTGCTGTACTTTGATTAGTCAGTTGCTGTTTTTATATACATATATATAACACATTCTCGCAAATAGATTTGCATCTGATCTATGTAATTGAAATAAATCAAATGCAAAGAAACCCCCGTCCGTTGCCATTCCTGAGGTCTCCGGTGTTATTCCTCTGTACCCTGTAAATTCACGCCATATCCCACCCTTCAAACCGAAACACAACCATGCAAACACAACTGCTTTACAGTAGAAACACTAATGGGGCAGAGGTGCCCAAGCAAACGACTTTTGTACAAAGTTTCTCTCTAGTGTATTATATAAGTAAGCGATTTCCTCGCTTACTTAATATTTCCTATATTATATTATATTATCAGAACAGGAAAGCATAACATTTTAAGACGTTTATAATTTGCTGTTGAATATCGTGACATTACCTGGACATACATTATTCATGATTACACAGCCTTCATACAACTGCATACATTTTGTTTTCCTATTTTTTTTTAATGGATGATAATGGAATGGTAACCCCGCCTGCGCTATTGGTGTACACCGGCGGGGCACCAGTGAAGGATGATAGGTGAGGATGAAGCAGGTCGGTTGGCCCATCGTGACGAATTCAACAAGAATTGTTCACGATGATTTCCAGGGTGATCCACGTGGAGGTCGACCTAATAGGGTATATTGCTAGCAATGGGGCTGTCAAACACCATTGCTAACAATCCCTTTCCCCCCTTGTTTTCCGGACGGAGTCGTGTAATAAGAAATATTAAAAAAATTCAACTGAATTGGCAAGCAACTTCCTCCTTTTTCGAAGTTTGTTATAAATCTTGCTGTGTTGTACCTTGTCGTGCCATAGTTAAATATAAAAACTCCCATATATAAGTGATTTTATATTTAAGATTTTGCTCTACATCGGACATTTATTCATAAAAGCCGTCAGGTTTTATATCAAAAATTTAGTTTAAAAACAGATACTAGATGACGCTGTTGACAATGAAAAAATCGCTATTAAGGTTTGCCTGTAATTTTATGACCTGCCCTTAGAGAGAATTAATAATAAAATACTTTCATTCGTACTGTATTTTTGTTGTTTCATTCAACACCATCGGTAGCAGATTTTACACTCACGATACCTAATTGTTCAGCATGTACAGTTTTGGTGAATGTAATGCTCAACATAGTCACATTTCATGAAACATACTGAAATACGACATGGCAAACAAGCTTACCACTGTATCTTAGATATTGCATACTGTTAACGACATTTCTCACCATCGGAGATTCAGCAGAATTTTAAGTGGATTTGAATTCATGACCTAAATTTGTAAGTAGTGATTGTACACTAATCCGCGACGCTATCAAAATAAAATAAAGAATAAGATAGATAAACAAGCTGTAGTGATAGTGGATCCATTATATACCAAATAATATGTAATATATGTCATATCAAAGCACAGTATTATAATAATTATAAATACTATTTTAAATTATAAAAAAATCGCAATATTTGGGAAGTAAATGCAATGTACGGGAAACGCTCACTAGATGGAGCTACAAACACCAATGCATTGCAGATTGTTATGTATCAGTAGGTATCTTCGCTTGTGTGGTCCCGGCATAGAATAGGCCACCCCTTTCTTTCCTATGGGTGTCATAAAAGGATATTAAAGGGATTTAATGGTAGAGGAATGGACAGCAGCGCCCCTCTTAAAATATCTCTAAAAAAATATTTGCGGTTGCCAACCCACCTGTCAAGTGTGGCAACTACCGGCAAACCTCCCTTTATGGGGAAGGCTTATGCTCAGCAGTAGACAGTTAAGGGCTGAAATGGTGATGATGAATGCACCTATTGGATGGAAAAGGCTGACGACAGAACCGTTATAATTAAATATATAGAATTATTCAGCAGTGGACAATAAATGCTCCAAATAGTGGTGAAATCATTATCCACTTAGGTTTAATTGGTTTTTTGATTGGTTTTGCTAATACATAGTAAACATTTCATTCTTTTAGATTGAGTCGACAAAAACAACCATATATGAAAAGACGTAAGCCGAAAAGACTGACTGCAACTAGTACTGATGCAAACGAAGAAGAAGAAGATGAAGATTGATTTATTATTAAATTTTATTTATGTTTGACTTAATTTATTTTTTATAAAAGTAAATGCAAATATATAGATAGTGCCCTCTAGTAATATAACAATGAATTATTTATTTTTGAAAATTAATGCCATCTGTTGACATTATATGTAAATGTACAGATAATTTCCTTTTAAATAAATGTAAGTACGCTAACAGATGGCGCATATTTAGAATTAATTTGAATAATAATCTTTCGAAATTATCTGTTATAGCATAACATTTTTTTTATTTATATTTAATAATGGAATTTATAAAATTAGTTAATAGTTCAGACATCGTTTCTTTGTTTTTTTTTTATATACCCAGAATGAACAATGATAATGAGACAACGAAACGTTAGTGTAATATTGCAATATTTAAATAATTACCCATAAAACCGGAAAAACTAAAGTAAATTACATGTATTTAATTTTACGTATCTTATAAATATATGCCTATATACTATTAAAACGATATGAAAGAATTGATAATTTAATTATATGAAGTAATTAGCAATATTTTTTATACTATTAAAGATTTTGGTTCATTTATAGATTAGTAATACGATAACTTGCGCTACGTAATGATATATTGCTAGTGGGATACTGTTAGCAATTAACATACTATTTATTATAAAACTTATTACTTTAATAAAATTAAACTGTTATCGTTTAGTTTGGTAGTATAAAATAACAAGACTCAAATAAATATTTTAAATAAAACAATTTCTAAAATATTAACGTTTGTATATATTTCTATTTTGTATGTATATATACAACTAGTTTGTTAGTGCCGGATAAGTAATAATAATTGTATTGCCACACAATGGTAATTAAAGTACGTATTTTATAGCAACACAGCCACCAATCCGTATCTCAATTTCATTCACCATTCCTCGCCTCGCTCGCCTCCTCTGTACCCTGTCATTCAATGCAATTGTCAACTTGTCATACGCGTTGCTGATGTGATAGTGAACGATCGTGGCTTAGTGTTATTACAATTATTTTGTAAATGTGGTGTGTTTATGTGATAATGAGAAACCACACGTTAGAATACCTAATAATTAAGTGATAAGTGCATTTTGAGGTCAGTGTCCTGTTAAAAATTGTTATTTTTTGTATGTCATCTCACCGACAACATGGCGGCCCCCCGTCACAAATCACAACAGAAAAACATATCTTCGATATTTTCGAAGTTACACGGTGCATTCTCGGATGCGGTGTGCCCGACAAAATTCGCGACGGATAAGAGGACATTAGATAAAACTTGGAAATTAATGGACAAAGTTGTGAAACTGTGTCAACATCACAAAATGAATCTGAAAAACAGTCCGCCGTTTATTCTCGATATATTGCCGGATACATATCAGCGATTGCGGGTTATATACTCAAAATATGAGGATAATATGCAGGCGTTGAATAACAATGAACATTTTAATATATTTATTAATAATTTGATAAGAAAGTGTAAGCAAGCTATAAAGTTGTTCAAGGAAGGCAAAGAGAAAATGTTTGACGAGAACTCTCATTATAGACGTAATCTGACGAAGTTGAGTCTTGTGTTTAGTCATATGTTGAGTGAGTTGAAGGCGATGTTCCCAAATGGAACATTTGCGGGTGATCAGTTCCGTATAACGAAGAGTGATGCAGCCGAGTTTTGGAGAACAAACTTCGGTAACAGGTATGTCTAGTTTTATAATAGTATTCTAAGTAATGACAATTGTTATTAGATTATTTAATGCCTAGGATGCATTAGAGGTTCATAGATTTATTGACTTATTGATAAATCTATTAAATGGGTGTAAAATTACATCTATGAAAATATTTTTCATTACAAGATAGATTTAATTCTTAATCTATGTCCTTGACAAGTTATTGTTACAAATTATTTTTTATGAATAATGAAAATAAAAAAAAAAAAAAAACTAATTTCAAACTCCATGTGTCTATTTCAACTTTATCATAAGTGAAGAAAGTTTTTTAATATACTTATTTTCGAATTTCCTCTAATATCTAGTTACAACTGCCATGCTGAGTTCTTGAGATAAACAGTAGCATAGTAACTTACAAAGTTATGAACTTATCAAATTGTTTACATACAGTCAATATTAGTTTACTATGAAGATTACTAATTAGTCATAACTTACCTATTTTTACCATGAACTGTCAATCACATTGATGTCCTTCAGTGTAGAAAATGAGGTCCAAATCTGTAAAAAAGACTGCTTTCTTTCTCTACTATAAAAAAAGACATCAATATTGTAAATTATTTTATTTGTGCTAGTAAACATAATAAGTATGCTAGTAAGCATATATGAGTATTCAAGTATTGATAATTATCCTATAGTACTCAGGAGTCAGTCAATGTCATGACCATTATTCCTCATTCTTATAAAACATGACTTATTACATATTAAGAAATAATTTAGAGTATGCTAAAACACATTTATACATAAATTAGGCCTCTAAATTGAAAATAATGGTTTATTTAATTCTACCATAATATGACCAAAAATGCAATATTTTGACAGCATATTTTCAATTGTGATATGGCTTTTAATTTTCATAGATTTTTTTGTGCAACTTAGAAAGATGTTTCTTCAGGGTTGGCAACACACGCATTATACCTCTGGTATTGCAGGTGTTCACAGGCTACGGTAACCACTTACCATCAGGTAGGCCGTATGCTTGTTTGCCACCTCAGTGGTATAAAAAAAATGGTAAACAAGCTGACGGCCCACCTGATGGAAAGTGGTAACTGTCGCCTATAGACATGAGCAGTACCATGGGCATAACAGAGTATAGGCCATGATACCCCCATCTGTCGCCATTCCTGAGGTCTCCGGTGTTATTCCTCTGTACCCTGTAAATTCACACCATACCACCACCCACCCTTCAAACCGAAACACAGCCATGCAAACACAACTGCTTCATGTTAAAAACATGAATGGGACCATTTTTATGGTAGGTAGACACAGTTATGTTAGTTTTATAGTAGGTTACACAATGAACTACAAAATTCACCCACCTATCATCATGTTTGATTGAAATAATTATCTATTAAGGTAAAAAATGCCATTTTTTGTATTATTAACTTCTGAAATACAGTGTTGTATTTCATTAGTGCACTAATATTCAGATGTAATTTCCTGCAAATATTACTGCTTATTGTTTTGTGGTTGCACATATTTAGCTTTGTCATAATACATTTAACTTAACTATTGTTGTTATATTTTTTTTTTAATTAAGATATCATATGTATTTAATAAAACATATATAAATAAATACTATGTAAGGAAAATTTACATCACAAATGTATACAGGTTTGCCTAAAGCTATTTGTTACTAAATATAACATTTAATAATTGTTATATAACTACTTACATATTTGCTAAAACATTTTGACTCTCATTTTATTTGTAATTACATTTTATTCCTTTAAATATGATAAAATTAATATAAGGCTAGTATGATGATAGGATAGTGAGATGGCTAACATAAAAGATTGTGTTTTGATACTAATAGTGGTGGTCAGATTTCAAGTGTTGGCAATCACACACATACTGATGGCAGTGAAGTAACCAGTGATATGGACTTCTGCACGATAACATCTAGTTCAGTAAAATATTTACCAGACTCTATTACTGACTGTCCCCTCAATGGTTAAATTTTCATAAATTTCTGATGTATGGCTAACTTACATCATCCTCTCCTATTTTCCCATATTGAGCACTAACCTATGATAAACCCAACTCCACTAGCAATAGTGCAGGTGGGGTTACAATCCTATTATTATCCATTTAAAAAAAAATCTCTCTTCCTATCATAAATACTAAATCAATTGAGACAATGCAACTTTAAATTCCCATGTCTTTCTTACACTTCCTTATTAAGAAGAATCAGATTTTTCTCATGGGAAAAGCAAATGATAATTGCCAATTGTTGTTGTTTGCTATGTATTTGCTATTTCTGGTCTGGTCTTAGAAAAACAGACAAATAGCATAATTATGCTAGTATATACATTATTCAATACCTTTTAATTATCCGTAATTTATAATTGTTTGTTTTAATATTATTATTGCTCTAACATGTCAATGACCTTCACATAAATAATAATTATTCTTTATTATTGATGAATGAATGAATATGTACCTATATGGTATTATAATCTTGAATTATTTCCTTTTAATTATAAAAAAATTAACTCCGTTACAACCATACAATTGTCGAAGATTTGAATACTGTTAAAAAAAGAAAAGTAAATAATTATTTTATCTGTGAAATAACACTATAAACTAATTTTTTTTTGCATATTTATGTAAAAAAAAAAAACAGTTGAATGTAGAACTTTTTTAAAGTACCTTCAAAAGGTACCTACTTAATAGTGATTGTTGCGCCAGGTAACAACTTCAATATAAATAAGTAATGCCATTGTTGTCCCCATATGGCGTGCATGCATAATTATATATCTTGTGATAATCTATGCACAATTAACATACAAATAAACAATGTGCTCTGAATGATTGATGCTATTGTAAAATCTTCAATAATAATCAATGCAAACCTTTCTATTAATGGGGGGAAAGGTATTGTTGATTGATAATGGGGTCTAAGAGCTCCATTACTAACAATATACTTTGTCAAGTCGACCTGTACAAAGTTCCGTATGGAAACCATTGTGGCAAATTCTTGAACTCGTCATGATGGACTAATTGATCTGTTTTTATCCTCACTGACTACTAATTGGTATCCCACCACTGACAGTACAGACAGAGATACCATTCCATTATCCCCCATTAATAAATACCCTTCTGTAAATAGAGTAGGGGACTGTAATAATGAGACCAAACGAACCAATGAACACTCAAATCGTTGATGATTATAATATTTCTAGGCAACTGTTACCACTTACCATCAGGTGGGCTTGTTAGCCATTCTATATTGCATAAAAAAATACAAAACAATATAAACATAATGATATTTCCATCCTTGCTAATATTTTAAATGTGAATGTGACGTAATGGCTTAATCAATTACTATGAAGTTTTATATATATGTATTATATGGGATAGAGAAGGATAGAGGCTACTTTTTATCCCGGTCAGTGACTGTTGGTTGTATTAACTCACTTCATATAAATTTTTCATTATTACCTCCCACGGACAGACTTCGACTAGTTACAATTTTATTTATGAATAAAAAATAGATTACATATGAAACAAGTCGTTGTAGAGTATCCACGAATTAACTACGAAGTATCGGATGTACTCACTTTTTTTTTGCGGAACATTAAAGTTAAAAACGTATCGAAGCATTTCTAGATAGACACTATCATCGTCATCATTTCAGCCGTTAACTTTCCACTGCTGAACATAAGCTATCCCCATAAGGAGAGCTTTGCCACTAGCTGTCACTCTTGACAAGCAATTTGGCATACGCAATTAGACTTTTAGAGATGTTTTAAGAGGGGCACTGCTGCCCATCCCCCTATCATTAAGTTCCCATTCCCTTAGTCGCCTCTTACGACATCCACAGGAAAAAAGCGGTGGCCTATTCTGTGCCAGGACCACACGGCATAGACGGTCATTTATGCGAATGAGTCCGAATGTACCTACCGTCCAGTCATTTGTATAGACCGTCCCTTGGATTCATCTCACTGCGAAATCAATTTATATGACCCTCGCGGAAATTGGACAGAAATAACTGTGACTTATAAAGGACGTTAATAAAAATGGCGGCCTAAATAGAACGGGCCCAAATAAGTTTCAGCTGTGGAGCATTTAAATATACCCACGTGGAATCTGTATCATTGATTTTGTAACAATTTTATAAATAACTGTCTAGGATTGGCTGATGTGTCGCAAATTATTTTGCGACGACATCACTACAGGTTCAAGGACGGTTTTATTTCTCACCATGGAATGAGCACGGGTAATATCAGTACTGCTTCGATATCATAACCCAATATATGGGTTCCTGATGACGGAAAGGTCATCACCCATTTCAGTATGATCCATAGCAGCCGGATATTTATATTAATTTCGATTGGGTTATTTATTTCGATAGCTTTATTGGATAACCGATCCCGTTATTCGTATTAATAATTTGAATTCAAAAATTTAAATTTTCGATTTGATCGATTGATGAAAAAGAATCTGAACAACTGATAGGATTTGAATGAAATTTCGCACATACGTAAATTATATCATAAGTTAGCTTCTAGGATATTTTATATAATGATTCTCGTGAGCAAAGCCGCGGTATACAGCCTGTTTTTGGGCCAATTTCTAGATATTATAACTAAAATGTATAAATATTGATATTATATATCAACTACTCCACCGTGAAACATATCCGACTATTTATCTAAGTATACTTTTTTCTAGATTTCCAGCGAAAGAGACTTCCAATATATTTTGAAGATTTATTTTTTTAGCAACCATGTTACACGTTTACCTAAATAATGCTTGGTAAAGCAGGCTTATATGCTATTTTATATGTCACTAATTTTCATCAACATTTATTTCGGAAATTCGTTTTTAGTTCTAGCTAGAGTGAACAAAGATTTAATAGTTTATACCTGCGACACCTTTCGCGTGACCTATATACGTCGGATTAGTCGACGTAAAATGTATACTCTCCTTTGTTTTAAATATTCCTAAATTGAATCATAATAAATGA